CGCGGGTGCGGTCCCTTTGCAGCCCCCGCGGCCCCTCGGTGGGGCGATGCGCGGGAGTGATGCTGCCCTCTCCCGGGGGATGCGGACAGCCCGGCCCTGCCGCCCCGCCCGGCCCGGGCACCCCCTCCCCGGGGACACCCGCTCTGCAGGGACACCCTGCTTGGCATGGACACCCTTTCTGCAGGGACACCCGCTCTGCAGGGACACCCCTGTCCCGGCTCGGGCAAACGGCGTTCTCTGGTCTCCGGCTGGCCCCGGGGTGGTTTAGGGACGGCAGGCAGCCCCTGTCTCCGTGTCAGGGCTGCAGGCGCCGACTTGGTTCAGGGTTTCTCGGTTTCTCGGTGTTTTGGCCGCACCTCTGCTTGAGAGCCACGGAAGGGTGACAATCTTCTGGTGCCGGGGCCACCTGGGCACACGCGTCCTGCTCAGCAGCCTCAGGATTCCCCTGCTGGATGCGGTCCCCAAACCAGTAGGCGCTGTGCGGGAAGGGATTGCCTGGCCTTGGAAAAAACCCCGGTGGGACTTGCCTTGAGTCTGGGCAGCAAGGCTCGGAAAGGTCCGGCACCCAAACCAGGGCCCTTGCCTGAGTCAATTGCGTGTACAGACAGCGTGGTACGTGTTTGACCACACTGCCGCATTTATCTGTGTCACACTCACGACACAGATAAATGGTGTGGTTTTCGTTTGTTTCATTCATTGCTTTAAAAGCATTCACTGCTTCAGAGCTGAGGCACTTAGGACACGCAGAGAAGGATAACTCTCTGTTGTGTGCTCCTTGCTAGTTGATGGCATCTGTACCACCACCTTTACTTCTGTGTGTTCACCAATTTGTTTTGGACATTTCCACGCCGTGACGTTTGCTGCACGGCTGGCACAAGGCAGCAGCAGGTGACACGGTGCTGGCGGAGCTGGGTACACCTGGCTGCTCTGGGAGACACTTCCAACTGTCCTGAGCTCCCAGCAGCTGTCAAAACTGCCACAGCACTGACACTGCCGGCCAGCCCTGTGTCCCATCCCTGCTGCCACTGAATTGGCTGCAAAAAACCGGATGGGGCCATTCCTGCTTGGTTCTGTTATTCCCAAAGGCACCATGCTATGGAATTGCAGGGCTCCCCTTCATCTCTGTGATGTGTGTCTTACCAAAGCGCTACAAACCCCAGCCTCGGGGAGCAACCCATGGAAGAGGATGAGAAGGAGCGGGCACGGGGTCAGGTCCCGCCAGGCAGAGCTGTGGGATAGCCCGGCACCTCATCCCCGGGAGGGGCTGCCCGCTGCTCTGCTCACCGCTCCCGCTCCGAGAAGCGTTTTCCTTTGGTGGCTGTGGTTTCATTCGGAGTCTGCCACAGGGAAGTTTGGAGCCAGGTACCAAGGAAGGTGTCCAGCTTCAGGTAAACCGCGGGAAATATTTCGTTTGCAGGAAGTTGCTGTTTATTTCTCCATCATAATTTCTTTCTCTTTTTGGGGGATTTTTTCCTCTAAAATTGTTGCTGTGTTTGAGCATATTTTAAAGTCACTTCCCACACGACAGATACTCTTAAAATCCCTTCTCGGGTGAAGAGAGCACCTGGATGAAAGGCACGGCACAGAAACCGCGGGGCAGGATGCGTCCGAGGCAGGTCCATGCCGCGGGCACAAGCACAGCTCGCACACTCTCCCGGCCTTGGGGACACACCAGCGCCCTGTCCTGGGATGAGACCCTGGGATGATACCCCGGGATGGGACTCCGGGATGGCCCTCGGGGATAAGTAAGTCCCCGGGATGGACTCCCGCCCCTCGAGACCTCCCGTGTCCACCCCGCCCCTTTCTCCGCCCCT